TTCATTGCTTGAGTTTCTGCTCCTCTGTGGATGGGAAAATGGGAAAACAGGGTATTTTTTTCAAAGAGATCAGAAGGGCAGCCAGAGCGCTTTGAGACTTCATGGAGACTGCACGTAGACTGCATCTGACCAGCCAATCATAGAACTTCAGAAACAGAGAGCCAGCAGGAGAGAAAACCCAGGCTAAATCCACAACATCCTGTTTAAGGCAATACCATCCATCATTATTTGCCTGTGATAGAGTGCTGCTGTGTGATGGCTGACAAAGAACACTCTTAATGAGACAGTATGCAGGGGCTCTGTCCACAGAACATGGAGTGGCAGTACTGAGCCCCTGCCTCACTGTGTCATCCTAAACCTGTCACTCTCCCAAAGATGGCCTCATATGTGTGGCAGGCAGAAAAACGGCCTCCCAAAGATATCCAAAGTCCCCAGCACCTTGGAAAGGAAGCATGACTCAGAGTGGGGCCATAAGAGTGCAGGCAAGACACTTTGCAGATGTGATTAATGCTAATCACAGGGGATTGACCCAACCCAGCACAGGAGCCCTTAAAAGTGAAGTGGAAGGTAGAAGAGGAAGTCAGAGGGATGTGGGAAGGACTGGTTCATTGCTAGTTGAAAGAGAAAGCCACAGACTGCAGTATCTGTCAAAGCAGGGACTTGCACTCTGTTTACAACCCAAAAGAAAACCGTGACTTTGGGCCCACAACCAAAGGAGGCAAATTCTGCCAGCAACCTCAAGAGGGAAACAATTCTCCCCTAGAGCATCCAGAAAGAAAAGCAGCCTGATGACACAGATTTTACTCTCATGACACCCACACAGACTCTGACTTACAGAGCTCTAACTGAATAAAAAATGTTCAAAGCTGCCAATTTAAGCACAGTGAATTGGAGTTTTTTAAGTTATTTTTATTTATTATTGGGGAGGGGGATATGTGCATACCACAGTATAGCACACATGTAGAAGTCAAAAGACAACTTTTAGAAGTCGGTTCTCATCTTCCATTATGGGTTCCAAGGATCACACCCAGGACATCAGGCCTACATAATAAACACTTTTACCTAAAGCCATCTTGCCAGCAGATTTTTACTTTTTATTTTGTATGTATGTGCATGTATGTGTGTGGATGCACATGTGCGTGAGCATGCATGCATGTGTGTGCATGTGAATGTAGAGGCCAGAGGTCAACCTCAGGTGGTGGTCCTCAGGACACAGCCCATTTTGTTGTTTTTTTGTTTTGTTGAGGCAGGACCTCTCACTGGAGCTGGCAAGCCCTAGGACCCTGAGATCCCCACCTCTCTAGCACTGGAATTGCAAGTACAGGCCACCATAGCTGACTTTTACACATGGGTTCTGGGATGAGCATGCATACTACTGACATCCTGCCTTCCCCCACAGGTCTATCCTCACTTCCAGGATGGACTGTGGTTGAAGACTATTGATGAAAAAGCAGGAAAGAGTGAAATAAAGAATGCAGTACAGGCCCGGGCGTGGTGGCACTCGGAAGGCAAAGACAGGCAAATCTCTGTGAGATTGAGGCCAGCCTGGTCTACCAGTGAGCTCCAGGCCAGCTAGAGCTTCAGGGAGACCCTGTCTCAAACACACACACACAGAGAATGAAGTATGGATGAAACTGGAGATAATCATATTTGACGAATTAAGACAGTCTCAGAAAGACAGGTATCAGAGGCTGGAGAGATGGCTCAGCAGTCAAGAGCCCTTGTTGCTCCTGTAGAGGATCTGAGTTCGGTTTCCAGCACCCACATCAGGCAGCTCACAACCACCTATAACTCCAGCTCTAGGAGATCCAGCACCCTCTTCTGGCCTCTTCAGGCACTCAAATACACATGTGCACACACACACACACACACACACACACACACACACACAAACACATACAAATAAATATAAATACAAATCTTTTTAAAAGACAAATATTGCATGTTTTCTCTCAGTTGGGGATACTAGACTTTATAAATCCATGTGTATATATGGTATGAAAGTAAAAGTAAAACGGTCTAGGGGAGCAAGGGGAACAGATGGGAGGAGGGAGGGATGAGAAAAGCAAAGGTAGCAGGGGAGAATGTGCTCAAAATGCATTATATACTTGCAGAAAAATAGCTTTATCTAACAGCATAAAATTTTCAAATTTTCAAATTTTTAAAATAAAATTAAAAAGTGAAAAGTAATCTTCTGAAAAGCCTTAAACTATGTTCTAAGGCACTAAACCACAAAGGCTCCTGGTTTTCTACTTACAACTTCCTTAACCATGCCCCAGAGGAAAAACATGAAGTTCAGGAGACCAAGAGGGAAACCCCAGATCAACTGGTAGAGACTCTGCAGAACACTGAGTTAAGGATTTGGAGCCTGTGAAGGCGAAGTAGACATACCAATCAGCAATGTCTGCCTGGGGCAGGGATCAAGAGTAGTGACATGGGTGCCAGATACTTGTCATTATTAATGGAAACTAATTTGGGAAGGACAATTTGGTTATCTCCCTGCCTTCTCCTTCTGCTACTTCATTCACCCTGATCCTGTAAAGTGGGTCAACAGCAAGTCATACCCAGTCAGCCAATCAGAATCCAAATCAATGAATAATGAAGTTACATCTGTATACAACAAGCAGGTTAAGGTAGACAGCTTCAATCAGGATTGCTGTTACCTAATACGCAAGCAATTCTAATTCTGAAGGTTCCTCTCCCTGTTGGCTACACAACCCTTAGTCTTTACCACTTTGCTCCTTCTTGAGGTTCACCTTCTGCCTCCCTAGTGATTTGTAAGGAGTCTACGTCCCTAGTGATCCTATGGTATGTTGGCCAACAATTTTCACTTCCATCCCCCAGGCCATCCTGCAAGCAAGGCAAGATCTTAACCGTGCCTCCACAGAATTCTAAAGAAGTTTGGAGGATGGACCCTGGAGCCAGACTACCTAGTATCCTACTTCAGCCTGCCACTGACTTCCTGTGTGATCATGGGTGAGTTACTTTCTCCAGAGCTCAGTTTGCTCACCTATTAAGTGGAAGGAATAACGGTCCCTCCTAAGAGGATCATGGTAGACACGAAATTTGAGAGTAACATCAATGCTGAGATTTATGCCTAGATCAAAGTAAACACCAACTAGTATCAGGCAGAATTATTATTCCATCATTCACCATATGTGGCTAGGCAAGACTTCAAAGTGAGATGATACCAACAAGTGTACCTTTAAACTGGGGTGGGGGGAGGGGGTTTACTGGTGTCTGTCTATACATCGAAACAGAAAGAGCACTGCAAAACCAAGCAAAACAAAGATCCTGTTTCTTTGACGATATTGCCTTCATTCGTATGTTTTAATCCACAGAGATGAACGGAAGCTCATTTTCTTAAGAGGAGGATCAGAATATATCTGGGAAAGCACCTAAGGCTGTGTCAGCCCCTTATGTTCTTGGCATGTCACCCTTGGGCTTCTTACTAAGTTCCCTGGCTACACCAAGTGTGGGGGCGGGGCAAATCTCCAGACTTTTTGTGCAATAGTGCCTGTGGCTCTGAGGTTCTAAGAAGTCAGTTTGGGAGACTCAGTGTGGTAGGACTTGTCACCCCACAGTACGATTCATAACCCCAGGAAGACTGGAGATAGGGGGCCTCTGATGAGACAGAGAAACACTTTTTGGCTTTTTCAGTTCTCATGGCTGAAGTTCCTGATGTCCTACAGCTCAACCCAGCTGTCCTGTGTGTGTTCAAATAGTGGAGAGTGCTTCATAGAACCGAAGATCACCACAGACAGACATCTGTACCACTCAGACTTCCTCATTTTACAGTGAGGAAGGCCAGGTCCAGAAAGGGGAAATGCCTCAGTCACCTAACTCAAACATCTCCCACCCACCAAAGAGCTGTTCTCCCCAGTCAGTCCAGTGAAGGCGTTCTTGCTCCTTCTGGCTTATTTACCCACTGCGCAGTTCAGCAGATCATACCAGATGTTCTGGTAGTCTTTCAAGAGGTGTATGAGAAAGAACAGTTCTACCATCGCAGTCCCCAGGCTGGAGAAGCTTAGTCTACACAGTCCAAAGAACCACCAGCTCTAGGATTCTGCTAGCTAAGAGAAACAACTCCAAAACTGAGAGTCCATCCATGAGGCTCAATGGAAATCAAACCCCTGACATTTGCATGGGTTTTTATGATTCACGCCTTCCACCATTCACTCAGTGAGCTGATATTGAGCACCCACTGTCTGCCAGTCCCCGTGTCAAATCCTGGGCGTGCCTCAGACACCAGAACATACGGACTGTCCCTACATACAAGGAACTGAGGAAAGACTGAAGTGTGCAAAAGAACCAGTAATGGAAAAACTAAGTCCCAACTAAATGAGCAGACAACCCAAGAAGGAAGTTTGTAAGAAAGGACCCTAAGATACTTTTCATCATCCTTTTCCAAACTCTGCTTTACATCTGAAAAGGATAGTTTCTCCATTCCAAAGATGAAGAAACACGGTTCCGTGAGATGCTGATGAAGTAACTAAAGACAGTACCACGACTAAAACCCACCAGGCATGACTCCAAACTCCAGATCCCTTAGGTATACGAAGCTCTGATAACCCTGTTTCTGGTTCTGCAAAGACCTAAACCCTACCCTGCACTGCGGCCGGGCGCGCCCAGGCTCAGGAGCTGAGCGCGGACTCCGGCCCGGAGAGCCAGGGGCTACAGAGGCTGCGGGAGAGGGAAGGCAGGAGCAGGGACCCCAGGGAGAAAGTGATCTGCGAGTGGGGCTAGGGCTCACCCATCCAAGCCCCGGCCTCCCCGGGGGCCCAAGACTGTGCAGAAGGTGGCTGAAACTTGGGACTGAGAACGGGAGGTAAGAACGAGGGGGTGAAGTGAAGAAACTCAAACATGCGAGGCAGGCGAGGACACAGAGAAAGACGCACTGGCAGGGCACCGGGGTAGGGGCAATGCGAAGGCTAGACCGCGACTCGGAGGAGCACCGCTCAGCTAGAGCCCCACAAAAGACATCCCTTGACCTCACTCACCCCAGATCCGATCCGGAGTCCCGACTCAGCTTCGAAACCCGGTTTTAAAAGCAGCAAATCTACTGAAAGTTCCTGGAGCAAAAACTCGACGCTTTTCCAGGTCCCCAGGACCGCAGGGTATCCGGTACCCGGAAGCGACCCCAGCTCTGGAATCTCGGCCTCAGCCGGAGCCCAGAACGTGCTCCGGCTCCTCCGGGCCCGGGAGCGCGCGGGAGCGCAGGGACGCGCGCTCAGCACCCGGAGTGCGCGGCCGCCCCGGAAAGACCCAACCCTCCGCCCCGCTCCTCCCAGCCTCCCTGGACTCTCGGGAGAACCGAGCCCTGAGGGAGAACTCTGGGGTTCCTCCACGTCAGTGCGGTGCAGTCAGCCTGTAGCCATAAACAAGTCATTTCTCAAAGGACTTCCGCTATCTGTGATGAAAACGGGTTAGCCCACAATGCGTCTTCCAAGATCCTTTCCTGCTGAGGTCTAAGTACAGGAAAGTCTACCCAAGTAGCTTCGAATAGGGGAGCCAGAACTCAGAGTTCCTGGTGTACAATGTGATGGGTGCGAGATCCTTAAGGCTGGCTGTTCATTCTGTTAAGCGAGGATAGCCCTGTTGGGAAGGAAGATTGACTTACAAGGACCGGTGTAAATTAGTTGGTTGTCTGCCATAACACACCTCCAAGCATCCTGTTTATTTTGTGATAACATGAAAATCTAAGGTGATCAACGGCCCATTAGCATTCAGATCTGAAAGACCTGCCATTCCCTCTGTTCCCAGCCCAGTTTGCACACAGAACAGTGCCAGCTCTACTGTCTCTTGCCCCGCTCTGTGATCCACGGAGGGAGGATTTCCAGCCCATCTTTTAACTCAGTAGCATTTCCGTCCATCTTACTTTTGTGGCGGGTGGGGCACACAGGCAAAGGCTACTGGTGCCTTGAAAAGTTGTTTCGCCCTTTTTCCAGTGCATGTGAGAACCATGCTCCCTTGCCCTAGCTGACCTTTGACACGGTGTAAGCCTTGAATTTACCTCCTAGAGTGTTTCCTCTGCCTCAAGGATGAGTTCAGCAGAAATGACATCAAATCATCATTACCAGATGCCAGTTCTTCAGAGGGAGGAACCAAATGATTTGACAAAAATTGTAAGGGTTATCACTCCAGAGCACATTGTGTTCAAAAGAGAACATGCATGGCCCTAAAAACAAGTGCAATTCAATTCCGAGTGCTTTAAAACTCTTTTACTAGGAAAAAAAAACAAAAAACAACAACAAAAAGAACATGCTAAAGGACAATTATAAAATGTTCCCTGGTTACTGCAAAGGGATGGGGGGGGGGGTCCCCCCTCAGGACGGCAGCTAGCAACTGAGTCTGCCTTGCTGTGGCTGCTGGCTTCCCCCTCCGAGGCAGTGCAAGACCCAGGACTGGAATCAGCATCAGAGATATTTAGTCACCTTTTCCATTTAGGAGGGTATCATCACTGTCTTTACCATGTGTTTGCTCTTAGGCCCAAACAGCAAGGCAAAAGAGGAAAGTCTGAATTCCCTACTAGAAGTATATACAGTCTTGTCCCAACTGGACTCACCTTGAATGTATCTACACAATGTTTTGTCTTTTCACTTACACAATCACATTTATTCTACTGTTGGAATGGAAATTAGAAAACTAAATTTCTGAGTATGTCAGTAGCTAAAGAATTGCAAATACCTTACTTCATTTGTAAGATAGCAAAATGAGAGCTATTCATCCTATCTGACACAATTAGCACGAATAAAGGTTTCATTCATGTATTTCTTTAAAATATCTTTACAGTCTGGGCATAAAAAAGACAAATTCCTTATGTATCATGCTTACATCTTAGATTAAGGACTGGAGAGATGGTTCAGTGATTAAGAAAACTGTTCTTACAGCAGACTCAGGTTGGGTTCCCAGCACCCACATGGCAGCTAATAAATACATCCTTAACCCCAGTTCCAGGAGATCTGATTCCCTCTTCTGGCCTCTGCAGGCACTGCACCCACATGATACACGCAGGCAAAAAATACAAACAGGATATTTTTAAAATACAAATTAAATTCAATCCCCACAATGAAATACTCTCCACCACTCTAATCTCATTGTCTTGTTTTACTTTCTTTCTGGCTTCACAGAGTGATATCATCTTGCTCATTTGTTTCTTAGAAAGCTAGAATACAAAAGATCGTTCATCAAGCATAGTATGCACGCACATGCATACATCTTTGCCTCTCTTTTTTTTGTATGTTTGAGAGTAAACAAACCTTCAAGTTGTATCCATGTATATGTTTAGTTTTATCCACCTCATGAAATGCCAAAGAGATACATCAGCATAAGAAGTTTGATTACTTGCCTGGAAAGATGCCTCTGTGGTTAAGAACACTGATTGCTCTTGCAAAGGACCCAGGTTCAATTCCTAACACCCGCGTGGAGGCTAACAACCACCCATAACTCCCAGTTCCAGGGGAATTTGATGCCCTTTTCTGACCTCTGGCATTGCACTACATGGGTGTACTTACATACATGCAGACAATACACTCATACACATAAAAATTTAAAAAATAAAATATTTTTTTAAAAAGAAGTTTGATTACAATTGCTTAACTTTTGCTGGTCAGCTAAATGTTTCTATAGTTCAAACCACACACCTTTGCTTGCCCAGAGTTATCCTCGTGAAGAAACAGAGCTAGGAACACTGGTTAAAAGCTGTAATTTATATGGGCATTGTTACTCTAAAAACTGAAGTGGCAAAAAGCATGAATGTTGTGTTTGTAGCCACATGATGAGTGTGGCTTTATTTATCAAGGAAAAAAATGAGGGCTTTTGTCTGTGAATATGCCAGGATGTGAAAGATATAAAAGACAAAATTTGAATGGGTTACTTGTAGAAGCTCGAGAAAAGGAAAACTTTGTTTACTTTGGTTTATAATACCTGCAAATACTGAATCTGGAAGGAAACAATGAAATGCATTAATATCTTTATGAAGTTAACTCAGCTTTAATGGACTTAAAAGATTTTTTTAGAGGAAGCAAATCCTTTATGGTCAATTACTGCATTAATGCAAGAGTAGAATTTGGGAGGGTTGTTTCCTCTATATTAAAATGACAAAGCCCAGGAGGGGCGATTCATGCCTATAATCTGAAAACTCAGGAGGTTGAGGCAAGAAAAATGCAAGGAGCTGAAAGTGAGCTGGGGCTACAAAGAGTTCCAGGCAACCTGGGCTACAGAGTGAGACTTCATCTTTTTTTTTTTTTTTCCGGTCTTTTCGAGACAGGGTTTCTCTGTAGCTCCAGCTGTCCTGGAACTCACTATGTAGACCAGGCTGGCCTTGAACTCACAGAGATCTACCTGCCTCTGCCTCCCGAGTGCTGGGATTAAAGGCGTGCGCCCCCATGCCCAGCTTCATCTTTTAAAGATATTAAATAAAAAATACATGTAAGGAGGGAGAAAGAAAGAAAAATAGACAAACTAGTCTTGAAATATTTATTTTGTTCTTAATAAAAGGTAGTAAAGATTACTTTTTTAATTTTTTTATGTGTTTTGCCGCATATAAGTGCACCATGGCATGCACTGTCCACAGAGGCCAGAAGAGGGCAATGGACCCCCTATAACTGGAGTTAAAAATGGTTGTTAGCCACCATGTGATTGCTGGGAACCAAACCTACGTCCTCTGCAGAGCAGCCAGTGCTCTTAACCACTGAGCCCTCTCTCCTGCCCCTAAAGATTATGTTTTTTTAAGCGATTGAATAGGAGATATTATAGATCAGTCCAGAATAAGTTCATGGTCTTTCTGTTGACTTTGTCATACCTTTGATTATTTAAAACAAAACAAAACAAAACCCCAAACCAAGGTTCCTCCCTCATTTCAGAAATAGTTGAAGTTCCTTATAATTACCCCTTTGGCTATGTTTATCTAGTAATAGTTTTATTAACAACTACCCAAGCTGCAACCATTCATCCCAGGTATCTATGTCTCTGTCTCATGTTAATGATTATTCTCTTTTGATAATTATTTTAATATTGCCTTCCCAAGATCGGTTCCTGGCTGGAGGTGTAGTTCAGTGGTAGAGCACTTGCCTAGCATGCATGCTCCTTTGGTTCTTTACTCGCAAACCCAACACAGATTCAATGCCCAAAATCAGTTCCAGAATTTGTAAATGTGTTTTTACATGCCAAACTATCTTTGGGGTTTCCTTCTTGGATGGATAAATTACTAAAGGTTTAGTATTTAAGTCTGCACCTTATAATGTATAATGTATGTCTCTCAGCAAGAGAGATGCTGGAAATAATCAGGTATTTCTTAATTAGCTCAATAATATAAAAATGGCATATATCAATCACACAAAATGGGACAAGTTGTCCAATTAAAAAAGCTAAGTAATCCATCTCAATGTTACTTTTGTGTGTGTTGTTAGTTGAACCCAGGACTTCATGGATGCTAGGCAAGTGCTTTATACTAAACTATATGCCCAGGACCCCTGGGTCACTCTTTAAGTTTGTCATTATCTCCATATCCGTGCTATTTTTTTTTTGAAGAAAATACTTGAAGAAACACTGATAAAATCTACATTAGAGAATGTTATTATCTTCTAATATAATTGTCTGTAGTAGAAAACTAATATAACTTTCAGTTTAATCAAATCAGATTGTTTCCTTTTCTTTCCACAGTAGCCTGAAGACTGCTTCTAAGCACTGAAGAGTCTTCAATAAGGAAAACATTCCCAGTGTCTTGGTGGTGCTCCAAAATTGACTTGTAGAGTCAGGCTTCTCAGTATTATGGCCATAAGCAGACATCCATGGACTAAAGCATATGACTGTGTCAGGATTACTAAGACACTTTCTAGTAAGAAGTAAATGACCATAGAAGTATGCTGTTGATGTATGAATCAGGAATAACTCATATAAGCCAATGAAGGAAATGTAATTGTGTTTATTTGTTTTGGAATACTGCTGAATTGAACTGAATGAATGTTCTGCTGTCCTATTTACACAGGAAGCAATTTTTCATTCATTTTTTAACTTATTTGCATTCTTCTTGATCTATTGATATTCCTCAAGTTAGCAAAGTATGAGAATGCAAACTGAGATGAGATAGTTTTTAAGGTTTGCAACTATTTTATTTACAAGTATACAGTTAACACAATGAAATAAATACTGATACATTGAAGCCCAGTTTACAGTAGTATAATAATATGTATTACTTTAATGGTCACGTTTTTCAACGCATATTTTAATTGAATTTTTGTGCATCTCATACAAAACATCTTAATCATCTTTATACCCCCTCCCC